CGTTCATAAGCACAGGATAAGACGCAGCAGTCCATTTCTAGGTCTGTGGCCCAAAGTTCTGAAAAGTGGCCTGTGTCATTTCATGAATCATAATTTCACGAGAACGCATGTATTCTTCTTCTGGTGCTTCTGCTATTTCTGCTTTTTGCAGATGTTTCTATTTTCTTCATTTAAGGCCCCCGCCGTTCTCTCCTTTGCCTTGCAGATCACATAGTTGAAAAGGTTAATCCTGAAATGGAGAAGCTGGGCTTTGTGTGCAAGTGCCTTGGTGGAGGAAAAATTGAGCATAATAGCAAAGACAAGAAAATTCGGGTATTTGGCCTTTCTACCGTAAGTGTTGTGTACCTCTAATGCTTAGAAATGACAACTCTGTTTCTATACAAAGATGTAATTATAATAATGCACATAGATGTCTCATTTTTTTCTTGCCAAAAAGAATAGGTTTTTGGATGCATTCAGAACCCTATAAACTACACATCATTTTTATAGAGTTTAAATGTTTTTGTTTAGGGAGTCAATATATTAACCAATTCATGCTATGAAAACATGCAGAAGAAACAATAAATTAGCTGAACAGAATATTCTTTATGGCATTCTGAATAAAAGGTTAAATTCTTCAGAATGATTCTCCATGGAAGTACAATTTTATAATCAAGCTGCCACAAAAACTCAGGACAGTTGGCAGCATCTGAAAAATAAGCTAGTAGAAATGAACCATGAAGGAAGAGCCACGGGATTAGACCATTACTGGCTGAAATAGGGTTTGCTGAAGTCCAACATTTATAATGCAGTATCTGGTATTAAAGACAGGTAATAAGGTGTCCCTTCTACTTTCAGATCACAGATAATATGTGTTACAACTTTTTCCTAGTTTCATATGAATCCCCCTTTCTTCTCCCTTTCTCTTACTGTCATTCTCTTACTTTGAGACATAAACTATACTTTAATTGTATGTTTTCATACTGTGAAATGTTTTATTTTGGTATTTATTGGCTGTAGCAAGAAAGCAATTTCTTTTGTTTCCTTAGCATGTCTTACTGTCATTGAAGGGAAAAATATCCTGGCCCTGTGACCATAGAACTGGAGAAAAGAGCCTAAAACACCCATCTGATCCGAACTTTTAATTATCCACTCAGAGAGCAATCCTGTGATTCCCAAAGAGCATCCACAGGACCAAAGGATTTTTCAGAATTCCCCTGATGCTCTGATGTGTAATGCTTCGTTTCTTGCATTCTCAGGCTGCAAAAACTGGTCCCAGGACCTTGTAGAGGTCTGAAAGGCAAAAGGGGTGGAGTAAGCAAAGATACCAAAAAATGTGTGCCCCCTCAGTCTGGCCCCCACGGCATGCTGCATCTAGATGTGGGTCACAGCTCTGTTTGGAGGCCCGACAAGAAGAACTTAGAGCAGAGGTAGCCTGTCGTGCCATCAGCCGCCCAGCAGGCCACTGGGTACCTGGAAGCCTCCTCGTGGGGAGGATTTCAAGCAACAGAGGCACAACCCGCAGGGTTGCAACCTAAGGAAATGAAAAAGCAAGGCTGGAGATCATACACTCTCTGCCTTTTTTAGGTATCACTAAGAATCTCTTACACACTCTTCCTCTTTGGGAAGAAATCCCGTTAAGAAATCTTTATTTTCTTCATGCAGGGATATGGTAAAGCTGATCATTCTGTGACTGCAGAAATACTGAAGAGAACTTACAAGAATTATGAAATTACTTGGTCAGATGACAAAAAGTGAACTACCACCATGAATCCTAAAATTTCAGGATAATGTATGCTTTATTTTGGTTTCAATATGTGTATTTAATTTATTCTGAATTTTTAAAAACCAGAATGTGAATTTGTGGGTGCATTATTCAAATAGATTTTCAAATACATTTGATCGTACATTACTTGACCATAACCTGCCCTTCAGATCTTGTACGAGGACATTTTCAGTTGCTCCAAAGCACATTAAAAGGACTTTTTCAGGGCCCTTTCCAAGAGCCCCCAAGCCTTTTCTCTCCCTCTTTCCTGTATGCGCACTGCTCCAGCCAAGCAGTTCTGGGTGAGTGCCCAAGCAGCATGTGCTGTGGCTGGTTGCTTTGACTGGCCTCCTCCAGAGGAGACCGAGCGGAGCGTGGCTTGCCCTTCCCCGGCTGCCCTGCACAGGGGCCGCTCGGGAAGAGCCCCTCCTCGCCAGCCTCGAGCCCAGAAGTGTGAGGGGGTGGCCTGTGGTGGCAACACCTGTGCTCCCCACATGATGCCTTCCCACGAGGGCTTGAGGCGGCCGCTTGTGGCGGGCACTGGAGGCGCTGCCCCAGGCTGCTGCCCGATGGAACGGGTCTGGGCGTGCCTCACCCTTGCTGCATGGCCCGGCAGCGCCCAGCAGGAACACCTGCTGCTGCTGAGGACAACTTCCTGCAAGCTGCGGCAAAGGCTGCTCTGCTCCTGCTTGGCGGCAGTGGCAAGGAAGGGGGGGGGCTCCCCGTTCCCCTTGCTCCCTGCTGCCGTTGGGGCTTTCATGGTTGGGGGGGGCAAGGGAAACCTCTGTGCTCCCGTGGTGTCACCCGCAGGACTCCGAAGGAGATCCGGAGCCGTGATGCGCCCACATCCTGCCAGGCATCTTTCAGGTCTGGCCTTGTGGCATGTGAACCAGCCGTGCTGCTGGGATCAGACAGGACAAGCCACCCTGACTTATAAACCGCTGTGGCTGGTTGTGTTGTTCAGAGCAAGGCCTCAAGTTCTAGGCTGCTGTTCAGAATCGTGGGTGTGCAGTGTCGGGGCGTGTCCTTTAAGGCAGTGTTCTTGGTTGCCACTACACAGGCATGTTGATTTTGAAGCTGGCGGGGTCATCCTCAGGAGCAATTCCGCCTTTTTACTTGTGATGGATTCCCCCTTCCACAGGCCCAGGAGCTGGTGCTTCTCTCCTTTCATCTGCATTTCTGGGTGTGCCTGAAGGGCTCAAGGCTGTCTCTAAAGTCAGGTTGTCACCGCACATTCCACAAACAGTGCAAACACTTTGGCGACCCAGTAGCACCCCTCACGGGCATCTGTATAGGAGCGGTTAAAGCTATGCCTAGGTGGTAGGCGCTTCAGGTTGTTCTCTTCAGGGAAGGAAGCATATTCTACCCTTTCGCCTAGTCATCGTTCTTTCAAGGTATAAGTAGAAAGAATTACTTGGCTCCCAGAATAATTTGAATCCTCATGGGAATGACCTTGGTTTCCTCTAACTTTGGGGTGACAGTTCTGTTGCTATCGCACTTGAGTCTTTATCCTCCTCCTCCCTGGGCCATTCAGTATAGGCTTCCTCAAACATTCCTCATGTTACACAGGAATTACTTCATGTTTTATTCCAATACCTGGTGGGGAGATTGTATACTGCTTTGCCCAGCTGCAGAAACCAAGAATGTCTAGAACATTCACATCTATATTTATGGCATTTAATAAGAAGCTTGCATTCCAACATTTTAAAACAAAAAAGTAAAATCCCTACACAATTGAAAAGCTTTTAAAACAAAGGCTAGATTACACATTTTTAATCAAATTGTTAAAATGGGATGAATTTATACTGGATTATGAAAACAAGCTTCTCAGTCCTTAGCACTGTCTTCCTAGCTACCTATTCCTTTGCGCCAAAATTGTATCTGGGGTAACTGAAGAAGCTGCCATTAAACTGGCTCAGCAAACTCAAGTCTAAATTTACATTCAATTCCTGTAATCAGTAATCCCCCCAAAGATGACGCAGCCAAGCCAAATGCTCGTCCTATTTGAATTCCGCAATCCCTTTCCTTCCTGGGCCAATTAACCAGTGAGGGCAGTTCATTGTTCAGACTGATTCTGGTTTTACAGGCTGCCAAGTTCTCTATGACTTACAGCAGCCATACAAACGTATGAGCTCTCAGATGTCCTGTCCGTGACCTTTCTTGATTACTGGAAAGCCAGCGAGGGCAGCACTGGAAAGTGCTCCTTTGGCTCCTCTTGGTTTATGACATCCGGTAGGGAAGGGCTGTTCGGCACAGTCCAGCTTTTAATCTTTGAGAGAACGGGCAGCAACATCTTTGACAGAGGCAGTAATTGGGCTACTCCTTTAAAAGCCTAGCCTGGTTCCAGAAAGTGTGGGGCGGGGATGGTTAACATCCTCTTTCCACGTATTGTGCTTCTTTGGATTATACTCATTTTCTGGATTAGTGTCTTTTCTGCTTCAGCCCTTGATTTGGAACGGTAACTGCCTTGGGTTTCCCTTTTGGATGCCCTGTGCTGAGGGATGGATGGGAAGCATGGCCCTGTTAATTAAGTTAGACCTCTGAAAGGCTTTCCCAATAAATGCATTTTTCTGGATAGGCTGCTTCTAAAAATACTGTGGCAACTTCAGTTAACACAAACATGGGTGGCTGCCAATCTATTTCCAGGCACGTCAAAGTGTTGGGTTTAACCTTTAAAGCCACATGCAGCTTGCCGTCAGGTTGCTTGAAGGCACATCTCTCATACTGACCCACCTGGACACAAAATCGCCCAAGGCCCTTCTCTAGGCTTCCTTAGGGGCCTCGGGTGAGAAATCGCCTTCTCGGCGCTGGTTTCCCTTCTGAGAGGCCCTCTCCAGGGAGGGTCACCTGATGTCCACACCACGCAATTTTGGCACACAGTGAAGAGCTTTTTGTTCTCCTGCGCATCTCAAGAACTATTTTAGTACTTTTAGATCACCGCACTTTTGTTGGTCTTACTTACTATCCCAACCTTTTTCCTTTCAAAGAACTCAAGGTGGCTGACATAATCCTCCTCCGCCTCTCCATTTTTATCCTCGGCAGGGAAGTTGCTGAGTCGCCTCCACATGCAGATCAACACACAGGGGCCCTGCATGTTCCCACAAAGCAGAAGAAAGTGGCCGTTGAAACATTCTTTTCTTCACTGAGCATTTAAACCACCCAATAACCCAAATTCTCTGGGCAATGTGCAGTATATTAAAAACGTAAAGAATGAACAATAAAAAATAAATGAAACGGCACATAGAGACAAAAATCAGCAAGAGTAACAGCTTTACTGCATGCAAGAGGGAGCCTGCGTGGCGTAGTGGCGTTAGACTGGGGATCTAGAACGCCCAGCTTCTAATCCCTGCTCAGCCATGGAACTCACTGGGTAACTTTGGAGTCTCAACCTAACCTACTTCACAGGATTGTTGTGAAGATAAAAATGCACTTGCAATTTGCCAGAAAGCAAAAAAAATGTCTTTATTAATGCACTCAGTTAGAAGGCATGTTAGCAGAGGAATTCTTAAAGACCAGTTCAATTATAAAACGCTGTAGCCCTTTTTCCAGAACCTTAACCGTTCTACACTTAAACACATTTTTCTCTTTGATGAATTTTGTAAAAAGGAGGACCCCACCTCCGCACCCAAAGTAATAGGCTTTGCTAGCCAAATATACACAGCCATTTATTCCCAGTAAATTTGAAAGTGTATCATGTAATGCTTCATAATAATCAGGATTGTAAATAGTCTCTGAGGTGAGTATGACATCATATTTTGCCAAGGAATTCTTGCTATTCAAATGTAGTTTGTTAAACTCTGACCATTCCCCAGAAAAGAATCTACATTTGGAAAACAAGTCTTGGGCAAATTCTCCTTTACTGCATTGTTTCAGAGGAATCTCAGCCATTTCTCCATCAGCAGCATCCTGATGAACACAGTTAACCAATACATTAGGTAGGGTTATTTCTTCAATCACGGAGCTGTTGTAGTCTTGAAAATGGATTTCTTCAGCATTTCCTTTTAATGCTACTATTCCAAGCAGTCCAGCCCCACAGCCAAGATCCAGAACTGACTTGTGTGCAAACTGAATTTCAGATTCTGACAAATAATCAATGAGGTCAAAAGTGCATTCCCAGATCTTGAAGCCCCCTTCATAAACACCTGTGATTAGGTCAGATTGAGAAGACGAACCTTTTGATGCTATGTCTTCCCCAGGGGCGTCCTCACAGGGTGCCACCGCCACCAAATACAGATTTACATGGCACTTGCCTGGTAGAGTCCGCACAATTTTATTTTCAAGCAGTTTGCTGATGTCTTTAGGGACATTATGTTCCTTGACAGATTTTAGACAGAAGTGTTTCTTTGGCAAAGCCACGGCCTCACTTCTGTCTGTCACATTAATAGTGATTCCTGAGAAAGGCTCCTTGTTTACTGTATATTCTTCCACGGAATTCTCTTCCTTCTTTTCGGAAGGGTTTTCTTGCTTGCCCAGCTGTATCATTTCCTGTTGCAGCTGTCCATTCCCAATGGCCTCCATGGTGTCTATTGAGAAGTTGAACTGAAACGCCATCTGCTTGTGAAACTGGCCCAAAAAATAGTGTATGTCCAAAGTACAAACATGCAAACACACCACCAAGAATTGTGCCAGTGGAAGTGTTGTGCTGAAAGGAGTGCCAGACTTTACGGGGGTCCTCTTCTTCTGTGTAAAGATTTCCCACAGGCTCTAACAAGATCCTCTTAAATTCACAAGTATGCTCTGAAAGAAAGAACAGTGACATATATGTAGCAGTAAGAGAAAAACGTTTGCTGATCGTCCACCCCCCCCCCCCCGCCTAACATGGTGGCAGCTCTGGGGGCTGGGGTATAGCTAAACCTACCCTCAAGGGGCAAGAGCGAAGCACACAGACTGCTTATCCCATAGAAACCTCTTTGGCACCAACACTGTCATCTTTCAGGGTGCTGGGCAGACATACCTATTTTCTCAGGGATTTGCATATTTGTTAAAGCCCAATTGTGGGCTGCTTTGGCAAGCAGTTCATTCCAGGCGATAAATGCAGGAGACTTCGTGTAATTGTAAATAGACACTTTGCATGTTGCATTGTTTCTACATCATTTTAACCTATACTATTGTGCTGCTTTTGTCCTACCTTGATTTTGTGTGTCCCCTGCCAGTTTCTAATGTTTTCCCGTATTGCGTACTCAGTCAGGACATTCCCTGTGGAGGAAGCAATACATACATTTCAACAGTATCCTCGCAGAGGAAGCAGCTGTGGAACCGCCACTCTTGGTTTCAAGTTCTTTCCCCGCCATCTTCTGGCCCCGAGAGGTGCCACCTCCTTCACCCGCAAGGAGCAGCGCCTTAATCGCCGGAGCCTTTCTTTCGAGGCAAGGCGTCTGCCGCACGCCTGTGCTTCCTTGCTCACGGCAACCTGTGGGCCTCTCCCCTTCTTTGCCCCCATCTCTGACCCAGGGAAGCCTGGTATACCCGAACGGCGGCATCGGCCTCCCCCGCGCCTGTGCTACCGCACTGCATCCCGTGGTGGAGCAGAAGGGGCACGAGGGCGAAGAGGGGGCGCCCAACGGGCGGGGGGGGG